TCCATGCCTTTTAAAACACTGCTAACTACAACTTGTGACAACTAGTCAACTCCATTGTTGAATCATGACAACTAGATAATTTTTTTGATCAATAACTACAAGCATTCATTAATTTTATGAAGATGGTATAGTACAAAGAGTAAATGTACAAAGTAAAGTCAATGAGAGATAAAACCTCTTATTTCTCCCCAAAACAAACCCATTGCTTACAACTGTGCCCAGAAAAGAGTTTCTCATCCCACCCCTTGCTTGGCTAATGTGTTTGCAAAGGAACTAGCACTATGCTTGCACCAATTTAAGGTTACTTCCATGCTTCTTGTTAGCCACCTTAATTTCTTCATATGACAACTAAATAATTCATCATTATGCAAAATTACCCTTGGCCAAAAACAAAAACAATTAGAACACCCTTATTACAAAAAATAAAAAGGAAAAATAACAGGAAAAGAAAGAATGCATCAAAGCCATTAATCCAAAAATAAGAATACATCAAAACCCCTTTGAACATGCAGGAGTAAAGGCTTGAATTCAGTTTTATTTTTGCTTTGTTGTGTCATCCCCAACTTATTTTGTGTGGATCTGTGCTCATAGCAATGTTTGTGTTTGATTTGTTCCTCCTTTTTTGGGAAACAAGAGGCCCTTTTTCTGATGTCTGATGTTTTAATGTTGTTTCTTACCTTGTTTTTCTTCGTTACTGGAGAGATGAACTGCAGGACTTTCAGAATGGCTCTTTGGTACAGTGACTTTTTTCTTGCTAATGATCAGTAACAATGATCAAAGAGTTTTATTCAAATTATGAAAAGGAATAAGAGACCCTCTCCCTTGAGGACGTCTCAAGGAACAGAACAAATAAAATACAATAGCTGACTCATAGCAAAAAAAAAGTAATACATTCAGCCTCTCAGATAGACCTGAGGGCCTGGTGCTCCTCAGTTAAGTATAGCTGCTTTTTGTATCATATTTTGATATCCATCTTTTTGATTTGTTTCTTCTTTCCATTTCTTTTGCTCAGGCTGCAAAAGAAAAGTTACGCTGTGAAATTTTTTAATTACCTCTAGACAAACATTACATTTACTAATACTATTAAAAAATTTTATTGTCAACAAGGTAGCAGCTCTGATACATTTCCACATTAGCTTCCCTCTTTTTGTCAATCTCCCAAAGGCAGCCGGAATGAACAGCAGCTTTACTTTGGAGGGCAAGTTCCACCTACACCTAAATAGTGCAACAACCCAGTTCCAAATATTGGCAGCAAAAGAGCACGATATCAGTAAATGGTTACAGTCCTCACCCTTCACTTTACACAAGAAGCACCAATTTGGGGACAAACACAAGTAAGGTATCTTCTTTTGCAAGTGTTCCACCGTATTGATCTTACACAAGTAGGCTAACCAACAGAACACTGCTATCTGCCAATATTATTGTATTGGGGCAAACGGCAAACCCGCTGCTTTTCTCATTTACAAGCACATGTGACTATGTGCATGCATAGAGAGTGACAGAGAGGTGGTACCCCTATTCTGAGAAACCAAGAGAGGCTCTGGAATCTCAAAGTTAGGGAAATTAAAAGGACGCAGGGCCCCCATACTGTGAAGCCTGAGCCACACACAGAAGGATAATGCCCTTGTTTTGAAGACAAACCTAAAAGAAGGAAAATAAGAAATAAGTAAGAAGTATATATAACTGGAACCTTCATTGGTGACTGATAGAATCCCATGTGGACCATTGGTCTTCATCCTTTCTCCCACTTCTCTTCCTCCCCGTCTTAAACCCTCCAACCTTTGTGTCAAAATGTGACTAGAACCCTTAATTATTGTCCATTCCACCTTTTATAACATTGTGATACAGCACAACACAGCACCTATACAACTCCCACTGAAAATCCCATTTTACTGCCTAATAGTAATGAAACACACCTAATGGGAAAAATGTGCCACCAATGTCTTAAAACATAGGAAAATACAAACCAAATAAAAAACCAACAGAAAAAAAAAACCACAATACTGCTAGCACTCTCTTTTTTCTTCTCCTACCAAATTTGTTCTTCTTCTTAGAGTGGAGGTCCCCATCTCTACATCAACATTAAAGACCAATCATAAGAGGGCTTCTTCTTCTTTGGCCCAAAAAAAATTACCAATACCTGAAATTTCTTTTGTTCCAACTTCCTTCATTCCCTTCCCATCAGTTCTTAACGCAGAGTTCCCAATCTCTGCATCAATATTAAATCCCACCTATTAAGAGGGCTTCGTCTTCTTTGACCCAAATGATTACAAAGGCTGTAATTTCTTTCTCTTGTTTGTCTTAGAGAAACCTTTATGTTGTATATGGCATCTTAATGCAATTTGAGTATTATTTATTATTTAACATTGATCCATCCCTCTGCAAAATAAAAGAAAAAGAGTAATCATTCCTTTCCAAGATGGTATTTCTATAATTTTGTTTAGGGCTTGCAAACAGATCGGATTGAATTTGGATAAGGGTAATACCCGAATTTGGTTCAACAATAAATACAGGACATCCAAATTCGGTATGAATCCAGCGAATCTAAAATTTCATATACAAGGAATTTTTTTTTCTATACTATCTATAAAAGTGTGAATAGGCGTCCCTAGCTTCTGGAATTTTCATTGGACAACAAATGCCCCCTCTCTAAATTTTGAATTGGAAAACAAGAAAAGGCAAAATTGTTATTTTACATCTTCATTTAGTATGGCTTATTTGATAAAAAGATACAAAAGTAATTTTTTTGTTCAATAATTGGAAAACAAGCTATAGCAAAACTGTCATTTTACATTTTTCATTTAATGCTTATTTATTATTATTAAAAGTGTGAATAATGGTGTGGAACTTTTGTTTGACTAAACTACCCCAATTTTTGAATTTGGTCCTTGTCCAATTTTAAGGATGGAAACAAAAGAACTGTATCTATACTACTATTAAAAGTGTGTATGGGCTTGTGAAACTTTCCTTCTTGACTAAAATATCCCTATATTTGAATTTGGTCCCTCTCTAATTATGAGATAAAAAAAATGCAATTTGAACTACTACTCAACTCGTTCAATTCGCTCTCATTAAGTCTTATATTTAAGGTATTAACTTCCATTCTCTCTCACTAAATCCCATATCTAAGGTATTTTTCTCACTACTATTAAAGTATGAATGAGCTTGTGGAACTTATCTTCTTAACTAAAGTATCCCTATTTTTAAATTTGGTTCTCTTCATTCAATTCTGTTTCATTAAGTCTTATATTCAAGGTATTAATTCATATTCTCTCTCATAAACCCTATATTTAAGGTATTTTTTCTCAACAATAAATTCTAATTATTAGATCTATATCCAATACTTTTAAAAATATAAAACTCATGTTTTCTACAACCAACCAAAAAAAACAAAACCATTCTTACAACAGGTGGTAAAAAAATTCAACCAACCATCTAGGTCATATGGGCCAACCCATGATGTCATAGTTAAGTAATAAAATTTTCTGAAGTAGAAATAAATACCAAATATAGAAAATTTGGCCACATCTCTAATATTTTATATTAATCATATTAAAGAAAAAATAAGTGTGATAAACAATAATTGTTATTATTAATGGTGGAAATGTTACACAAAATTTAAAACCAACAGAAAAAATGATAATATTTAAAACCAAAACATTTAACCTTTTGTGTCAAATGTGTCAACTTTTAATGGCATAATTAAATAATAAAATTAAAAAAGATAAATATACAAAAAATATGAAAAAAAAATACAAAAAAAAAATTGTAGAAAACATTCGGGAACATCTCTAATATTATATGCTCATCATATTAACCAGAAATAAGTGTGATAAATAAGAATTGTTTTACACACAGAGAAATATAAAAACAATTTGTAGAAAAATTTGGACACATATTATTACTATCATCATCTAAATTGCCACGTGCAAAGTACATACTCAGCTAGTTCAACAAAAAGTTTAAAAGTTCCATGCAAAATTTAGAAACAAAAATCTGCAAAATAAAACAAGCACAAAAGTTCTTAATTTCATATAACTAGAAAAAATAAATAAAATTAAGAGATAGGCCCCAATGCTTAAAGTGCCATGGATGAAAAGAATTAAAATATGGAAATTTGAAGACAAAAAATGATTACTATAAAATAGATATAAAGACTGCTAAGACTAGAAATAAGAGGGAAAAGTACGTAATTAGAAGACAAAGGAAAAATGGGAATAGAGTTTTTTTTTTTTTTTTGAAAGAGAAAAATGAGAACAGAATTTTGCATTCAAGGAAAAAGAAAGAGTAAAGAAAAAAAGCTATCCAGTGGTACCAGAACCATTTTGAATAACATTTAGAACTATAAATCCAAGAAAATTCCAAGAACAGGGTAAAAAATTTCTCCACACGTGGTACCAAGGTTGTTTACCTAGTAACCTTCCCTCAATATTCGATCAGTATTTACCCATTCGTAGAGAGTAAATAAGTGATCCACAATCTTCTGTTTTCAGCCAAAACTTAAGTAGCTCTAAAGATCATAATTGAACCTGGTTTTATCCAAAGTACTTTCTTATAAAATTAAAAAATAATAATAATAAAACTTTGACCGAGGAGTTGATTGGATAGTCCACAACACTACCGAAAGCTCTAGTAAAATTTCTCCACAGGTCAAATAATATTTCTCGTCAAATGCTATAAGTTAACCTGGTTTGGATTGAGCAATCAAAATCGCCACTTTGCAAACCCCGATTTCAGATCGAAAGCCAACTTTAAGTGTCAACTGCCCGTTTCTAACCAACCAAACCCCAACAAGCTTTAAAAATAATTATAATAATAATAATAATAATCAATGTTGGTAGCATCGGAACCCTAATAGTAATGCTACAGGCGCTGATAGCAGCTCAATCACGTTACATTGAATAAACTTAGGTTCCAAGCTATAGATACGGGATGCTAACTCAACATTGCCGGAAAACAGAAAAGCTAAAAGAAAATAGAAAGCAAACAGAGCGACGAACCTCTTAAGTTCCTTCTTGCCTTCTTTAGATTTCTCAACCAACGTCCGGTGGTGGTGGCGCCTTGGCGGAGGATCGAGGAAAAAAAACCTTCCCTAATCTCTCAGCGAAAGGGAAGAAGGTAGCATTTGGAAAAAAACCCTTCTTTAATCTCTCGGCCAAAGGGAAGAACGTAGCAGGTGTTTGGGGATCATGGAATCACCGTTTGTAATATTTAGGGCTTGTTAACATTTTTTTCTTCTTTTTTTAATTTTTTTGGTAGTTGGATTTAATGAGCTCGGATTTAATAACTTGGTTTGGCATTTTATATCTCTTTTTGTGAAGTGTTAAGACAGAAATACCCCAATCTTTCATTAAAAATCCTTCCAATTTTGTGGAGGATATTATAAGCTGTCTTTGGGAAAGCTTACAAGCTTTCTGCCCGTTTGGGAGGGCTTTCACGCAGCGGTTTCAAGCGTTACGTGAAGCGAGAAGTCCAGAACACCAATGAAGTTGGAAAGTCGAAATTATAAAAGTGGCCAAGTCCGCTTTCCAATAAAGCTATTTCGCGTAACTTTTCTTAAACGGCTGGATCAACATAGCTCAACCAACGCAGACGTCCTTCCAAACAGGATGGATAGGGGTGAGCACTATTCGGTTAAAATAAAAAAATTCGGTTTCAATTTTTTCAATTCGGTTTTGGTTACATCGGTTTGGTTTTTGGTATTCGGTTTCGGGTTTTAGAATTATAAATTCAGTTACCTGAATTGATCGAACTTTCTATTGTTATATGTAATATATAATATGTATAATATAATATATATTTATATATTAACATATAATATAATAAAATTTGATTTCATAATATATTATATGTTATAATATATGATAAAGTATATATTATTAAAATTCAGTTTTAACTGAAATAACTGAAAATATAATTGAAAATTTTGTTTTCGGTTACTTCGGTTTTTTTATAATCTGGTTTTGGTTTGGTTTTAATTTTTTTAATTCAGTTTTAAAAATTTTCATTTATTCGATTTAGTTTTTAATCAAATAACCCGAATGTTCACTCCTAAGGATGGAATAGGGAGTTGGGATTACCTGCCAACAAAACAAGTTCCAACACCCTCCCCCAAGGAGAACAATATCATAAAATCTTGACCTAGGGTTTCTTATAAAGGGACTCTCCCTTCTCTCCTCTCTTTCTCTCTCTTTCTCACGTCCTCTCTCTTTAGTCTTTCTCATCTTCTTCTTTGGACCTTCGGAGACTTAACCAACCTCCATAGCTTTACCGTAGCACCAACACCGCACATTTTGATATAAAACTAGAGGCCACCATAAAGTGGGACCCACCATGTATGAGACGTGTGGTGTAAGATGTCGTTGGTAGGGTGTTAGAATGCATCTTATTGAGAGGTGATCTAGACTTTTACCACTAATTAGGGGTCAGGGTGGGTTTAATTTAGAGATCCCTGAAGCTGTGGGGACCGAGGATGAGGTCGGTAATTGTCCACCTTGCCCATACCCTAACTCCAACTATGAACCTGCCCTGATATATATATATATATATTTGTGTGTACGTGTGATTATTATAATATATAATATATTATATATTACATTACATAATATAATATAGTTTTAGGTAGGTTTCAAAAAATTTGCAAGTAGGAATGATGAGAACAGAGCAAGGCAAATCAGGGGATCCCCATTTTCCCATGGGGATGGGGTTAGGGTTGAGATTTCTAGCCTTGGTGGGTATGGATTTGGGATGGGGCATGCAAAACTCGGCCTTGCCCCACCTTGTTCAATTTCTATATTCAAATGGTATGTCTGTTTAGTTCCAATGAAATATTTTACTTGTCAAAAAATAGCTTATTTGACAAAAATGCCCCAATATGTTTCAGCTAACAACTTTAAATATGGAAAAGTATGAATAGGCCCATTGCAGATTTCTGAATTCCACTACAGACCTATAAACATTTAAAATGTCAAATACCCCCACTTTATATATCAATGCCCACCCATGAATTGGCATCAGTTCCAAGCTGGCACCTACCCCAACTGTACTTTGGGCCTAAAAATTCGGACCTTGGGCTGAACCGTCATTCTCTCTATATTTAATTAATTTAGTAAAATCATTGGGTATATTTAATTAAATATATATATATGATCTAGTTTTCAAATTAAAACTAAATCATCATACCTTGCTAAGCATTTAAGATTAAAGAACAAAAATGCCCTTAACTATATAAAATTTGATTTTTTTTTACTTTAAAATAAATTCATTCAATTAAAACATTGAAAAGCAGCATTTAGGAGGGGATGAAACCCATGAGATCAAACGTTTCACACCCCTAAAAGTTTATACTAATTTATGAGCTAAGCCATTCAATGCCCACCTAATATGAAAGAAGAAGGACTCTGTCAAGTCCAAAATATGTGAATGGCAATACTAATTTCATTTTCCAAGGAATATTGGACTACCTTTTAATAATGTCATGAAGAAGAAAGGAATCAGTTTTCACCACCATTATCCCATCAATGAACACATATGCTTCAATGTACATATTGGTATTTGAACTAGCAGTTGTGAAATGTAGGCTCAGTTTGGAAAGAGTACAAATGCAAATATACACAATATAAATGCATACAAAATACAAGGCTTTGCACTCTACATATTTGTATTTGTACTCCTTCCGATCAGAGCCGTAAAAACAAATGGATTATATTCATATGTATTAATAACCCCCCGCCACAAGGCATAGGGTTTCCTTGAGGTGCTCCATCAATATTCAACTTCATGAAGTCGCCCTCAATTGGACATATATCAAAAATCTTGGTTACCTTGGTTTTAATTGATAAAATAGGCAAACGTAGACTATCAAACGATCAATTAATTCAAACCAAGAGGAGCCATATAGCTATGCATATTGCTTGTTTCAAACAATTATGCATGAATGGAATTGAAAATATTTTGATGCATTTAAACATGTTCTCAATTCTTTGTTGATTCCATCTTTCTACACCTTTCAAAATGTGAAGCTTGCCATTGCCATAAGCCTTCTGTGATTGTCCATTTTTCATGATAAAAAAGTAGGCTTAGTCTACTTATGTTTAATGGGTTGCATTGAGTGGCATTATCATAAATTTCTTCTGGTGGAATATCAAAATCTTAACGTCCTTTTTGATGAGGGGTGGTTGATCTCATCGATAGGGATGCAAACAAATCGGATAAGATTCGAATCATGGTATATTCAAATTCGATCTGAAATTCCGATCGGATTTTATAGGACTCGATCTGAATTTAAATCCTATCAGATCTTTGGATCTGATTTGATCTACTTGTTTTCTTTAAAAATTAATAAATTGTTAAAAAATAAAATATACCAATTTAAATAAAAAAAATAAAAAATAAGTATTTTTTAATTATTTTCATCACATATATACATGTTTTTTATAAAAAAATAATATAACAAATTTATAAAAATACAATACAAATAAATAAATAAATAAATAACATATATATATATATTTATATTTATATTTATATTTATAAATATATAACACATCAGATCGGATATTCTTAGATCGGATAAGGAGTGATCCGAATCCAATCCGATCCAAGGTCCGACCAGGGGTGATCCGAATTTGACCAAATAGGATTGGACCGGATCATGATCCGATCCATTTGCGTCCTTACTCATCGGGTGCCTATCCTTGGCACTCCTAAGACCTTACATCTCTTATAGGGCGGCTCTGGTTAATTGTGGCTACATACTAAGGTTCCTCATGGGCATACACTTTCTTATGGAGACATTTGTACATGAGAGGCTTTGCATGTGGGTTGGCCATAGCCATGTCTCTTCACCTCGCCAATCCCATGTGTGAGCTAATCGAGCTATCCCATGTCATAGCACTCAAGTGTATTCAAGACCCATTAGTTGCCTAACACAATTATCATCAACATAGTCCCCATTTGGCACATAAGCAATGCCTCTAATGGATCAACATGAGCTAGACAAGAGCCCTGATCATGCATAATAAGGTCATGGTCTAGTTCCATTGACCCCGACGGAGCCATTAATGGGCCTAAACTTGGGTCTTATATTAAAAAGGCTTATCCTGGCCACATAAGCCTAGATGCTACACGAGTTTTTTTTTGTTGCCCAAACTAACCCCACAGTAGTTGTTATCTATTTGCACTTCCACAAATTGGATTTAGACAAGCAATGTAGAATTGGTCTGGCAAGAGGCCCTACATCGAGTCCCCATTGCAATGACCCTAATAATAGTGTTTGTGTAGGGGCAAACACATGGGCCATTTTCATTCGAAAGACTTATTTTGGTGATTTGAGTGAGGGAGTGCATGAATCCTTCATAGACATTAGACATTATCCATTTTGGTAAGTTGTGGGCAGTGCACCTACATCTTGGTTTCACGACAGATGAACCAATGTTTTGTAGCCTTTCGAAGACACCACTAAGGTAGAGACGACAATTCAAAATTGGTTTGTGTTGATGGTTGCTCAAAGAATACTACTGAAATGGTAACATTAGTTCTAAAAAGGTCTTAGGATCAAAACCACAATATTGGAAAGTTAGGAATGTGGGAACATTACCCATTGGAGTATGGTGGCATAGGAATCAGTTTACGCATCAGTGGGCATGCTCACACACAAGAAGAAACATCCACAACAACAACATCATCAACACTTCAATGGGTGCATGATTGGCAACACCATGGGTAAAAGCTATTAAGATAGTACAAAATGTTGTCAAGACCTTAAGGCTAAGAAGAAGGAAGCCCCCATGGAGCGAAGTGGTAACCCAAAACAATGATGAGGGCCAAACAAGCATAACCATGATGTGGTTTGAGTAACCCTAACACAAATGGTGAAGTCCATAAGCTAGCATGGTGAAATGGTAGCACCATCAAAAATTTACCAACAATTGTGTTGAGCCTTGAGATAAAACAGATGGGCATACTATTGCAAAGCAACACACACACATCAAACTTCGAGGGCCATCACACATAGAGCATAGCCACAAAATGATTTGAGTAACCTCAAAAAATTTGGGTGAAGTCTAGTTAGGTTAGCATGGTGAAATGGTTTGTCCCCAAACAAAGGCCAATATAGGCAAAATAGGCGGTCCTAATTGCAACAATAAGCATCCAAATTGGAGCACACGTGGATGAGGCGGGAACAAATGCCTATTCACTAAGAAGGCCATTATCAAGGATAATAATGGGTTGAGTGGGAGAGCTTGTCATGGTAAGAAAAAAGGGCTTAGTCTAC